TTTTTTTTCTATAAAACGCCACAAATATCCATTTAACAACACTGTGACGTGGCGGATGTGACTCGCTGCTAACTAAACTCACTGTTTCTTACATATCTGGATGATCTAACCCAACATGTTCACAAATTCAAACAACACAACACATTCATGCACATGTTACACATTGTTTCGAGAGCGTGCATCATCGCTGAAACCGATATTAGTTGTAGAATACTGAGGAAATAATCTTTGCGTTTTCCTTGTCCGACTCTGTTTAGCTTCCGTAGCGAAAGTCTCGCAAATTCGTTTATCAAACGTCAAAATACTTTAAGATCTGTCCCGAAATTTTGCAAAGTTATTCTATTTTAGACAGGTCACCTTAGCAACGTGAGCTTCAACGCATGAGTGCAACTAATGTCTCGCCTGAGCCGAAGCAGAGTCATCCTCCCTGCGCGCTTCCTGGATTGTAAAGAAGGAGATCATTCAACTGTGTTTGGTTCTCCCCTTCTAAAAAGGCAGCTAATGTTAGCAAGGCCACTCTCCACACGAACGATGCTAAGACTGGCGACAACGTAGCGGAAATTGAGATACTCACGCCTCCACACCACATTAGTCTTGTGGACATAGGAAATAGTGTAGCTTCACTCGATGCACCACGTTCTGACAAACAAGTAGGGATTGGGATAAATCCCCACACCACTATTGAAACAGATACAAGTCCGAAAACATCAAATGGGACTGTCCATAGCTCCAGTGAAGGTACGTTACGGCCCATTGACATTATGACTACACATAGCAGCAGTGGTCATGGTTCGCGTCCTAAGCGTCTTAGATCAAACAGGGGCCTTCGTGCTGGAGAGGTGACTCCCCGTGTCCCAATGACAGTTGTGAATAATAATGCAGCTGCACAAAGTGGCAAGCCAAAATTCCCCATTGTTCCTACGATGAGCCAAGGCTGTTCCCCTGGCAGGCCTGTACATGGCTTTGCTGAATCATCGACCACTTATATATGCCCCTATCCATACTCTATTCCGCCTCCTCCTCTCACAATGCCTTCTGTGAGCCCTTCAGCAATGACACCCTATCCACAGCATTCTTTTTGCATTCCCCCACCCATTCCCCCACCCCCCCTAATCCCGATAGGACTGGCGAATCTCACGGTAAGGGATTTGCTGCGGAAGGCTTTAGAAGTAATGTGATTGCAAGAATAAATACTGGACGGAGTGATAAACAACGCCAAGAGTTTTTAAAACTGGTGATAATTAATATCCGTTCTCTGTTGAATAAACTTCATTTACTCCGCACCTTCATAAGTCTGAATAAACCAGATATGATTTTACTCACTGAAACCTGGTGTCATGATTCTATGCCCAGCCAGCTGCTTTCTATCGAAGGTTATAAGCTTATTAGAAGTGATCGAAAACAAGGCAGAGGAGGTGGTTGCATAATTTACTACTCACAGAACATCACTGTGTCTGAATTCACACTTCCACTTATATGCCTCACTATTGATTCCGCTTGGTTACTCTTGTCCTTTGGTATTAAGCGAATTCTTGTAGGCTGTATATACCGCTCACCCGGGACCAGCCTCAGTGATGAGAACCAGTCGGTTGACATCTTCAATTACATATCGGACCTTGGTTCCTTCGATAAAGTTGTAGGTGGAGATTTCAACCTACCAGATATCTGTTGGTCAAACTTAGTAACAAAAGCGAAACATGCAGAGTTCATAACCTCCGTCCTCACTGGTGGTTGGGAGCAACATGTTTTCGTGGCTACCAGGGGGAAAAATATATTAGACCTACTTTTTACCTCAGGCACCTCCCAGATAGCTACTGATGTAATTGACGGTCTCCCTGGATGTGATCACAAAATAGCCAGATTTAAACTTATAGCTGAGTCGTCGCATGTGAGGTTTGCGATGGTTCCACACTTCCTGCGAAATATTAATTGGGTAGATTTCTCAGCTTTGCTTATGGTCCAAAATTGGGACCATTTCTTTCTTTCGTCTGATATTAAGGGAGCCTCCGAGATATTCTATGACAATGTGGCTATGTGCTTAAGCATACTTGCCTCCTGTGATAACACGAGAGTCTCTTCTATATACGCTAATAATGCTAAGGACAAGCGGAAAATTCGAGTGCTAACTCGAACATTTCAACGTACTCATGACTTTAGTGTATTATTGAGACTCCAACGCCTTATAATTGAGATGGACATGAAACATCGAACTCGTCTCATGCAGGAAGAAGGACGGGCTGTAAATAGTAGTAATACAAGTCAACTGGTGACTGCATTACTGAGGAAAAGGAGAGGTGGCAAAACTGACCTACCCTCCCACATCGTCATGCCTGAAGGTGATTGCATTGATTCCCCAATCGCCATGGCGGAAGCCTTTAACTCATACTTTGCTAGATCCTTTAATGTTGAAAAAGAAACCCTGGATTTGTCAACCTCATTTCACTTCTCTGAACAAGTCCCAGCGATCGAGCTTAGTGTTGCTACGATAAAACGTATGCTTACTTGTCTACGACCATCCTACAGACCTGGCCCCGATGGGATCTCTTCTGCTTTAATCAAACACGGTGGAGAGGATATCCCTCTTATAGTATTAAATATCTTCTCTTTGTCTCTCCAGTCTGGTCAATACCCCGAACGTTGGAAAACGGCTACGGTCATACCGAGACATAAGTCCGGGTCGAAAACTGACATCCGGAACTACCGCTCCATTAGTCACACAGCCATTCTCTCACGCATGCTAGAGAGAATTGTTAAGGAACATTTGGTTTCGTTCCTAATATCGCACAAACTTCTCTCACCTTCACAGCATGGCTTTCTGAAATCTCGCTCGTGTGTTACCTGTCAAGTTGACTTCTTTAACCATCTAACTGAAGCAATTGACTCAGGTCTTCAGTGCATTGTTATCTTCCTCGACATGCAAAAGGCTTTTGACAGAGTCCCACACAAAAAGCTGTTATGTAAATTAAGTAAGTACGGTGTTACAAACCCGCTTTACTCTTGGATCCAATCTTACCTTGTAGGACGGTCGCAAGTTGTGAATATCAATGGTTACACCTCTTCACCTCGTCCGGTTACCAGTGGAGTGGTGCAGGGCAGTGTCTTAGGCCCGTTGCTCTTCCTACTGTATATAAATGACCTGGTTTCCGTCATACAATTTGGGAAGCCTTATTCATTTGTTGATGATTTAAAGGTGGTCTACACGTTCCCAGGTTCTCAGCGTACCGCTGAAGTTAACAATATCCAAAGCGACTTGAAAGCCATTGAGAGATGGGCTGATATGTGGCAGATGACATTTGCAACATCGAAGTGTAGTATTCTATCGTATGGATGTCAGATAGCAGCAGAAGTGTTCAGGCTTCATGATGAAGTCATTCCCACCAGCCAGTCTGTTCGTGACTTAGGTTTAAGATATTCTAGTTCGTTAAACTTTAGCGAACATACAAATCATATAGTGAAAAAGGCTAAGCAGTCGGTCGGGCTCATATGCCACCTGCTAACCTTGAAAGAAACCAGACTAATTGCTTTCAAAATCAGTATCTGGCCTTTGCTTGAATATTGTTGTGCTGTGTTCAGTAACTTGCGAAAGGCTGACTTGAGAGCCATTGAAAACGTCCAACGTGCCTTTACGAAGCGCATATTTGGCTGTTCAACCGCTCTTTCATACCGAGATAGGTGCAAGCAATTGAATCTTGAACTTCTGTGGTTACGAAGAATGCAACTAAATCTGTGCTTCCTCCACAAACTCGCGTGGCGGAAAGCATATATTGGAACCTATCAATTGCACTTTCGGGAAAACACCACTTATGAACTGCGAGATAAAGAATGCATATTCTATTTACCTAAATTCAAGAGCAGTCTAAGGAGAAATTTCTATCTTCTTAGGTATGGCTCCATTTGGAATAAGCTGCCAAAAGAGATTAGATGTATTGAACATTTCTGCATGTTCAAGAAAATGATAAAGGCTTATCTGTCAACGGACAGAGCGAAATGGATCTTAAACATTCAATTTGATGATGAAAAACTGTATGAAGAAGGGCCGGATCATGTATGATACCGGAGAACATCAACTCTACTGCACCAGAGAAAACTTGATCAGCTAGGATGAGCTGATACAAACCGCTTCTTATGCTATTCCTTAACGCTACATTCCATGCGGTTTTACTCCCATTAAACTTAATTCATATCAACTGTCTTCTGTTTAAAACCGAGAGCAAAATTATTTACTGGTGTGACGTCAGGAGCTATTTTCGTAATTTTCCCCACAAATTGATTAATTCGTAATATTGTTCTGCGATCCCTTTCGCTACATTTGTTCTCCAGTGCTAATCATTTCCCCCTCTTTTCTGAAACTAACAGTCCAGAAACATATACTTAAATTCAAGGATGGCAATAACTGATTCCCTACGCGACTTTTGCCTATGGACAACTTGTACAGTCATCTGTCTCCGGCTGTCACGCTACACAATTTATCGTATGATCGGCTCGATCGATTTCTACGCCGATGTACAAAACATACCTGCCTATTTCTTACATTAACGATATAGTACCTCTTTCACAGAATTCTTCTTTTCTATATTCTTCCTTATTTCATAGTTGGCCACGACTGGGCTGATCTCCTGTGGTGACGGATTACAGCTTCCAGATTA